AAAAAAAAAAAAGACTATAAATTCCAATTCTTGGATTATGTAATCCATTTGGTTACGAATGAACATCTTAGAGCATTTTTAAGAAACCCTTTAAAATTCAGGTACTCTCTATTGCTTAAAAATAAGTTTCAAGAGACTCTATTTTGAATATAAAAAAATATTTTAAATAAAATATGAGAAAAAATTAATAAATATTTTTTGAGAAAAGCAAAATTAAGAGTTAAAATAGAGAGCTTTATTGGAGTGTATAAAAAAAATTCTTTCTAAACTTAAATATACTCTCTATTGTATATCAGATGCTTTTTATAAATAAAGATTTTTTTAGAATAGTTTTTACTACCTCCGGTTTAATTCACATAAAGCAAATACAAATAAAATAATACAAAATTTCAGTGCAAAAATAAAGATTTGTGGCTCCTCAAATTTTTTCTTTAAATAATAGACAAACTCCAAATTTTATTTTAAAATAATTCAAAATAACCAATTATTCTGTTTTGGCCTTCATTTATCTATTTTTATTTTGAAATAATTAGACAACAATTTTGGTAGTAGGAACATTTCATAAATAAATCCTTCAATTTGTGACAAATGATTTTACATCTTGATATTATAATTTCAAGAAGTAATATTTAAATTTAAATTAAAATTATAATGTTATTGTTAACCAAAATTGCATCCTTTCATTAAAAATTAAAATCTTAAAATAAGAAAAAAAATAATTAAAAAATACTTGGCTAGTCCCATTTTCTTTAAAAAAATAATTGTTGATTTGGAAACGTGAGCTTCTACAAAATTATTAAAATCGAAAATACTAACAAAATTAGTAATTGAAATTTGAAAATAAGAGCCAGTAATTAGGTAGTAAAACAAGGACCATTTATCAAATTTAAAACTATTTTAACATATTAAATTATAATTATAAGGGATATTTAAAATTTTAAATCATGTTTCTACTTGGACGAGCTCTACAATAATTAATATCATACTATAGAACATTAATTATTACTCATTATAAATATTAATTCAAATATACAAAACAATATAGTTTCATAGTCATTTAAATTTTTATGACATGTTCAATGAACTAGGATACTCGATGAAACAAGTGAAAATTTTCTAATTTTCTCGATTTTGTTTATTTATATTTAATTTATCGTACTAAACATCGACGACTGTCGATAAAAAAATCGAGGCCAAGAATATAAAATAACAGTTTTTACTGTTGATTACCTGTGAGTGTAGAGCAATAGCTTTGCCTCTCAGCTGGTTGAATGTCTTCTTCCCTATAACGTTACGCGTGACAACAACAATTGGAGCAAAAAGGCCCTTCCCTTCATTCACATTCTTCATCATTGGCCTTGGTCGCACCGGCCGCGCCACCCGAACCTGAGTTGGAACCGCTCCGGCCAGGGCGGTGTAGTCTTCACCTGCCATGAATGAAGAAGAATGGCCTAGACCATCTTTGAATCCGGTAGCATATACTGTAGCAGCCATTACAAGAAAATAATCACAAGGGCCCTTTAGTTTTTTTCTTTTCTTGGAGAGAAAATCTTGATAGTATTTTGTGTTGTAAGGAATGGTTATTGGTTTGGTGCAATTTATAGCCTCTGAAGAGGAATATTGGGAGCCACAGAAGAAGAAGTTGGCTTGGAATTTGGTTCTGATTTTTCTCAAAACCTAAATTTTAGTTGAATCTTGAAAGTGCATCTTCCCTTATAGACCCTAGAAATTTGGAGAGATAATAGGAGATCTGTATCTGCGATATACCTTGTTCTTTTCTTCCATGGGACCCTTCAAGGAATCAATGAATGTCTTTGATTCAACAGCTCATCCTCACCATTTATGTTTTTTGGAAAATGCACAAGTGTACCCATAGGACACCCGTGGCCCCCCTATTGTGGGGACGCATGTCGGCATCCTCACCATTTATGTTTTTTTGAAAATGCTATGGGTGTCGACGCCCCTCCTATTGGAGGGACGCATGTCGTCCCATAATGAACACCCGGCGCCCATCTAATTATTTATAGAGTCAAGAGTCTATGGTCCAAAGTGACTCAATTAGATGCTAAAACCCTTCACAACATCTCTTTGATTCAGGGATTATTTGACATAACTTTTGATAAAATTTTTAGTTTATTTTGATAAGAGTCGATGAAATATACAGTTAAAAAGTTAATAAAAATTGTGAATCCCATGAAATGCCACATTAATATTTGTTGATTTTGACTTCAACTTTTT